TTTACAATCATTCGGCATAAATTTAAATTATGTCTGGAGGCAGAATAGTGATTGAGAGTCGTCATTTTCAGCTTTTTTGGGCGCTTATGAGATCGTTTATTTTATTCTTAGGCATTGTAATTTTAGTCTTTGCTAGCGTCTAATTTTTCTGTTTTGCAGAATTGTTCTCTGAGAAATGAGTGAATTCGTTGAAGAAAGCCTCGAGCAACTTCTGCCAATATTTGAGCGTCTCCATACAGTCGAATTGCTGAATGTAAAAGAAGTGAACGAATTCATAAAACGATGTCGAAATCACGAATATCGACTTCAAAAAACTGTAACATATTTCTTATTCATCACTTTAATTATTTGATTTTTCAGTCACCTTTACCTGAATATTACATCTGTTTTTCCATCACTAGATTTTCGAGAGAACTGCCTAGATCTGTTGCATTGTTAATATGCTTGTAAAATTACGATAAATTATTGTGAGCATACAGTAAAATAATCTGATTTCGGATGTGGGAAAGCTCACTGATGAATGACAGTTCTCTACGCTTAATTTTATTACCTTTCAGTTGTCCAAAATCCCATCTATTACGGCCTCATAATGAATAGATTAATTGAATTTCACTGAGAATACTGATGATGGTATTTTTTCAGGTGAAAGATCCGCATGATTTTGTTCTGTATGCGGAGTATTTGAGAGATGTGCTCGAGCTGATTCGTATTCGAAGGAATCGTTTGAAATATTTCAATAAACACAACGAAATCGATGGATCAATCAAGGCGAAAATTGCGGATGTATATCGCCGATGCACAGACCGCTTTCAGGTTGGTTGAGCTCCGAAATCTGGTGGATATTGATGCGAATATTTGAATTGTTTTCGTTATGTTCAGTTATTGATGGTGTCGCAAAAACTGCAGACTATCGACTGTTTGAATTAGTTTTAAATTCTGAGCAAATCAGAATCACCTTCATACTAGTAAGAGATTTGATTTTTTAGGGTCGTGCAGAAGTGTGGAGGAAGAGGTTGGATTACCTCAAAAAGGAAAACATGAGTGTGAGATGCAGTCAAGCATACTTTCGCGCACTTCAGGTTTGTAATCTCTCTTTTACGGATCTTAATTAACGTTTTGAATTATTTACGCACTTTTCCGATTCCGGTTTTGTTGTGATTACATTCACAATATTGCCTGATCATAAATGAGAACTATGGAGGAGATTCAAAGTAGTTTAGTTGCGTGAAAACGTTCACTTATTAAAGGTAATGGGAAGGGATGTGGAACTGCGT